CCCCTTGTATTTGGGAGAAACTGGTAATATTATTTGTCGCTCAGATTTAATCTTTTCGAAGAAGTGTTCATGGTGAATGTAACATTACCGCATGCGATCGTGTGCCTACGATTCCTCAGCGTAGGGTGTTTGACGCTCAGGAATTCAGTAAAAGGTAATCTTTCCTTGGTAGTTGAAGGTATGGATTGTTTCACAGACCTTTCCTCCAAGGAAGGTTCTGAAGGATGTGTACTACAAATGATGAGTTACCTAACCGAATGGACTACAGTAGAATGACTATTGCGTTATCAACAGAACTTAGTGTCACTCGGAGAAGGCGATGTTCACCGTAACGCACTGAATTTGGGTGACGTGTGAATCTTATCAGATTTAATAGCTTAAACAAAACGAAATCGCTTCATAACTGGATTTCTATTGACCGCTATCGCCCATCAGCATGTCCGCAAATGTAATGGTGGTCAGAGTTCGATTAAGTTGAGCGGTTTATTGCTTCAACTTTTATTCGATAATTGACATCAGATATGCTATTTCGTGGAAAGTAAAAACGCTACTGTCGTCGTTGTATAGCAAGGCGAAATTACTTTATTGGGAATGTATTATCTACATTTTGTGCATAGGCAGTTTTACGCCATTTCCGTGTGGACCGCACTTTGTTGTGTGTATAACACGGTCCGTTTTGGCTGATATCTTCCTCGGCCAGTTGGAAAACACCGTGTTAGCTTCTTGCCTACAAAATGTACACTTTTATTGCCGGTATCTAGACGACACATTCATCATCATTGACACACCTCAACAGGCGGTGCATTTATTGAAACTGATGAATATGTGCCATCCAGCCATCAAATTCACAATGGAAAACGAGTCTGACAGATCTTTCCACTGCTTAGATGTTAACTTACAGAGAAATCCAGATGGTACACTCGTCCGATCTGTGTACAGAAAACCAACATGGACGGGACAATACGTGAAGTTTAATAGCTATTGTCCAATGAACTAAGAACGAGCATTAGTACGCGCCACTTTTTCTAGAGCTAGTCAAATTTACTCACTAGACACAATCGAACGTGAACTGGAATGAGTCACCTCAACACTACAATGAAATGGGTATGCAGCGCGATTTATAACTCGGCACGCAAAAATACGAGCTGGAGATAAACCACCAACCGATGTCCCAAAGAAAAAGGTATTCATTACACTACTGTTCAAAGGAGATCAAGTTGACCGAAGATTCTGGCTTCGCCTCTGCCAATCAATTAAGGAGTGTTACCATGCGGCTGACCGAGTGGTATTGCATCAAGTCAGTAGGTTGCTCTGTAAATCCAATCTGGACAGACCGGACTCTCAAGTTACCGACTCTTACATTTACCACTTTAATTGTACTTGCGGTAGCAAGTACAATAGGCCGAACTGAGAGAAGGCTGTTAGCGAGAGTTGCAGAGCATGTTCCGTGCAACATGATTGCAAAGGACCCGAAGCTACCGACTAGCTGTATTGCCCTCCACATACTTGACTGCCCTGAATGCCAAAACCCAAGTGACAATTTCAGGGTAGTTAGCAAACAAGCTATTCACCGCTTACTACAGTTTGCGGAGGCGGCAGCAATTCGGCGGCTGAAACCAAACCTGTGCAAGCAAAGGGGTTTCGTGACCATGTTAGCCCTTCTCTGGTGAGGCTAGTGATTGCGTTTTCCTCGGAACGGGTCATGTGAGCCTAACGACATTTGACCGCTTTGAAGTTTTGCTGTTAACATCGCACCGTGTTTTCCACTAACTGTATGTAAACAGCTAATGAGAATACGCGAAATTGCTGGATTCATTAAATTCTGTTAAAATGTTGTTTCTACTTGCTTTAAGGATGGTATTATGCTGTGGGTTCCTTACACAACAATCGGATTGGTTTCGCACTGCTTTAAACAACTGAGATGATGATAACCATAGCAGAAAGTGCAAACGGGCATGTAAGAGCTGAAGACGCGAGCTTAATGTATACGATGATTTCCGGATGGATAATGTTAGATAATGAACATGTTTAGGTTTCAATATCTTGAACTATGACTTGGATGGGTAGAGAACTCATGAAACCAAAAGACTTTTGGAAATATTAGTTTAGTATATTTGGTCAGTAACTCACGGTTTGCATACATAAGCTTTAGTTGTTGTGCTGGTCGCCGAGCTGAGAGACTTGACTGCATACTTTTCGCCGTCATTCGAATTGGAATCGTCAGTGCAGCATTGATTGCAGTCAGGTAGCAGGAGACGGTAGAAGATAAACACCGTGACGGATACTGTCCGTCAGTAATGTGTTTCTTCTATAAGCTTACGGGCTATTAACTTCCTAACATTATAGTTGGTGATTCATTGTGTTCCATGGTGGTACTCAAATCATTACCACTGGTTGCACAACAGTTGTTACGACGTGGTTGGGAATGTCGCACACGGATTGGTGCAACAGACATGGAAGAGCAGCTTGGGCCCAAAACAAGCGTTCTGTCCATTGTCTAGGTTGTAGATTGGATTATTTAGAACAGCGGCTGTTAATCTACTTGAGTTTACTCTGTCTCAGTGGTTGGTTTGTGAATCCATGTCGACATGCAGGTTGCTTGAGTTCGTGGAAGGGAACCAGACTTCGAGAAACGCCCTCTGTTTTTGAATTTCTGCCTGGGTCCGGATGTCAACTTTGTTCCAGCCGAAGCCGTCTGCTTCTTTAACCACGCTTGGTGAAACCAGTGAGGTTGCATAATGAGTCTCGCACGCCCTTTTGTGTTCTTGTGTTCCCGTTGACAGCTTCCTTCCTGTTTTGTCCCATATGGAGCTATGACCGATTTTAACAATTTCTTCTCTATACAACACTCCGTCGTTATTGTTTTTCCCATTTTCCTTTTGGTCTTGACAATATTTTCCTCCGGGTGGCGTTTGGCTTGTGGGATACCATAATATGTTGTTGCTTGAACACTCTGGCAGTCATTTCAGATATGTTCATTATGCATGGCAAAACTATGCGTTTCGCTGTTGCTCACGTAGGTTCGTTTTCTATGTGCGGAGAAAACTACCTGGGTATCCGTCGCGTTCAAATGACTTAAGTGGATGATTTTTTCCCACTCTATTAGTTTCGTCAAACCAAGTGAATTAGTGGATGCTCAGGGTAAAACCTATAACACGCTGGTATGATTTACATTCTCTTGAGTAATGGTGCTGCACATGGGTGATAAATCTCTCGGCTAAGAAATCAAGCGTCATATCTTACGGCTGCTGCATCCCAGAAGGATCTATCGCCCGAAACAATGAACGCGTCCCTACACCGTTGTTCACGCGAGATCGTGGAATCAGGTACTCGTCTAATTTCAATTTCTGCGAACAGGCCCAATACCAAGTAACGCGTGCCAGGCAGTCTATGTTCAATATATCAAACAAAATACACAAAACTCGAGCTAGAGTTGAGCTTTTCAAGCTACTCACTCGCCCCATATTTGAATACTGCAGCATAATATACGGAAATATGAGAAGGAGTGACAGAATTGCTGTGGAGAACCTGATTGGTAAACACTTTGCTATGGGTTTTCGAGAATGTTGCAATGAACTTCATTTCGAACCACTTTAGATTCGACGATTGAAGCACAACTTGTTGCTGCTTTTCAACATGTTACACAAAAAGACTTATTCCAACCTGTCTACACTCCATTTGCAACATTGTTCAACTCGAGCGCTTCGCAACAAAGAATTTACATTGAATATACCGAAGGCTAGAACGAACGTACGCTTTAATTTCTTCCTGGTCAGATATAACTATCTGTGGAATAAACTACCAATATCGCACAGGTCATGTGATAATGTGGCAACGTTTAGTACCAGACTCGCCTATAACCTTGATCTAACTACGCTAAGCTCAATGTCCACATGGGAAAAATCCCTCCATGAATTATTCCGAGAGAGTCCCAAAACATATAAACACCAATGTTTTCATAACCAGGCTTTGGCCTCAATAATCCATCAGAATGTGAATCCATGAAACGCATATCCCAATACTCCACCTATACAATAGCATGGATTCTTCTGTACAAATTGACCTGTGCCGCTATCGACACAGTTTCTATCATCCAGAGAAATAAACATGTTATTATTACTATTATTATTATTATTATTATTATTATTATCACGATAGCGGAGAGCTGAATCGGAGAGTATTTGAGTTAAAGGCACGTGTCAATTTGTGTGTTACATTAGGAGATGAAAGATCCCGAGTGGTTCACGTTGCCACCTCGTCACACATAAGTAGTTATCACTGAGAACTTGGAGGTAGTTTAACCTTTGCTCTCTGCCCAGGTTAGGTCCACTGATTTTTCTCACAAAGAGGATGCCCTTGGTGACTTGTATCAAATAAGTAATCAAAATTTGGGAGTGATTATTGCACTCCGTATTATTAAAACAGCATTCATGCCTTGTGGTTAGCGCCTCCAGTGCTATCAATGAATCGCATGGTGTCGCCCTACATTGAAACTCGTTCTTCGAACATTCATGATATCAACTTAATGCGTTCAACTCTCCTCGTCTTTAGCTCAGTTTTGATCTGACCTACATACGTACACTAGTCCACAATCTTCTCGTCTAAGTCCAGTGATGAACTGGTCCTGTGGTCTGCAGTAAGTGTGCATCAGTAGCGAACGCAGCACCTAATCCCTCAGAAAAGTAGGACCTATGTGCTGCCTTTCTAATGATCTCAGGATGGTGTACGAAATTCGTTAGTTCTAAGGAAGTCTAACCATAAATTTCGGCCACGTGGTAAGTAATTGTACCGTATATGTACGATAGAAATGTTTAAACTGTTATGTAAAATAGTTTGCTTGGTTACGTTAATCAAGCATCAACTTGTTGACATCTAGGTTGTTATTTAAATTTCGAACTTAATTAATTGACTTGCTTTAAGTGAACGGCTGATTAGTGTAGGTGTCTACATGCTTTGAACTAATTCTGAAGAAGAATAGAACTTGGAAACACGAGGCATACTTGTAGTTCTGCAGTGTTTAGACTCGTCTTAAGATGAGCCACCTCCCTTTCTCGGGCATCAGCTCTTTCGCGCTCAGAGACCAACTCGGATTCACGGTCCTCGGCTTCAATGCGGACTGTGGTCAGTTTCTTTTCTGAAGACTCCCACCGAGACCGCCAGGACTCGCAGTCCGCGTTGGCCGCGCGGAGTTGATCCATCAGTTGTACGCATTCCCCGTCTCGTTCGCTGACCACTCGTTCCAGTCGAGAAATCTCGCTCAGATATCCCTTTGCCCGCTGTTTCAATTCCTCTTGCTCATCCTGGGCGTCCTGCGGTAACCAAAAGAGGGGAAACACCTTGGCATCATGAGAAGTAAGATCTCATAACTGATATATAACATACTCATTATACGCAGTATCGGTAAACTGATAACTCATAATTACCGTTTGCAACAAAGAAACCATGATGAGTCTGCTGCTGAGTATTGAGCAGGTAGAGCGTTGGAAATATATAGCAACTTCGAATATCCTAGGTATACATTAATGATCAAACAACCTGTGCCCTTCAACCACTACGCGGCAGCATGCAGCTACCCATCCCGCAAAGCCGAAGACTCATATTCAAGACAGCTTCCTTGCGAATTTCAGTGTCCTGAATCATAATCCAAGTCACTGTAAGGGAGGTGTGACTTCCCTGTGCAGCAAGAATCAAGTTTAGGCACATATAGCTTGTGGATCATACAAATAGGTGAGTAGTGAAATAATAGATGTATAAAACGTCCGTGTACGCTTCTTTCAACTACGCCAGGTCCTATCCACTGAATGAAAATTGAAGGGTTCGGCTTCCTCACAACGTAGATTGAATGCGAAATACTGATGTACCCTGAAAGAATGAACCAGACTTCTAGTGCTTTCCGGATATATTACCACTTTTATTACCACGTGTCGACATGCCGAATTTTTGGAATTCTCACAAAGCATTTACAGCCGTAACATAAATTTGACTAAACAGCAGGCTAGCGATTGATAGAGAAATTGACCCACTCAAGTTGCAAGCATATGCATAGCCATACCCACGCAGAAGCCTAATTGTTCAGGTCAGCTAATGCATAGTTTAGCGTGTCACTACTTTCAGTAGCCCATATGGCCACGACACTGGAGAGCCTGCAAAATATTCCTCTGTTTGCATAGTTCAAGTGGTATCAATCTGACCTCAATGCTTACTATTGTCTGTAAAAGATGTTTACTAACGTATTTCGCCCGCAGTATTGACACTGCTTATAAGACCTTGGCTTGAACTTGATGTACATATTGAACCAGATGTACCAGACTATATATGCTTCTCTTCACAACACTTGAGTCATCTTCTACCAGTTTTAACTCAAACTTAATGGTATATCCAAACTACCTCCCACCACAGGCACTGCGGTTGCTCCTGCACTTTTTGTGTGGGTCATGTGAGACATACTTGTCGGTGGTTCCGATCGATATTGGCTTAGGTTATACAAGTGTGAGAAACAGATCCAAATGGCCTGCATGATCCCACCACTGGTTGGGTCGCAAAATCCAAGCCTAATTAGATTTACAGACCTCTGTAGATGGACAGCAGGTTAGTTTCGACATCCTCTTCAAGTGAGGACTAAAAGGGCTGGTAACATTTCTCGTCCTTGAAACCACGGCCGTCCGGGGTCATTTAACTGCTCCTTGCATTCTGGTTGCAGGGAAAGGATTGCTTATCTTATCAAGATAGAGCAAACTAATCATGAACTTCATGCAGTTACACAAAGTAGGTTTGATTGGCGAAACCGTCGAAGTTCAGGTGAACTGAGGCAAATGGGATTGGTTGCATCTAGAAAGCCCAGAGGCGTTATCTGGACCGTCCAGGAACGCTATATGTACACAGTTGCTACATTCGTAAAAGCGTTCCGAAGATATTTCGGAGCGTTTAATATTTTTCTCATGTTTTAACACTGTACAGTTTGACTGTGATATCTATTATAGTTCCCAAGAGAAATGATGGCTGTGTTCATGCTACCGATAAAGCCCGTAGGCAATCAAAATGTACGCATTCTTCTAATTCGGTGTTTGTTTTTCAATTCAGACGCCACTATTATTTATGACAACAAGACATTTTAGTGACATTTATTTACAATGCCTGGTAGCAGGAGAACTGTTGACAAGGTTTCACGAGAACATACAGCTGTCCAGTGTAAAGACGTTAGAGACTAGAATGAATAGGATATTGACTGTAACGAAGAAAATACGTTGAACTGACTTACCTAGCACGAACGGTATATAACTATTGCTATTTTGAGCTAGAAACCAATACTATATGCACAGTCTGAGTAGCAGACGGCTGAGACCGAAGAATTTGTTGCTGTGATATAAACCGTAGTTGCGTATGTTTCAACCTAGGGTCGGTGAGCGGAAACTGATAAGCGTAACCGTATTGCTAATGGAAGACCATTGAGAGCATGACCTCAACAAACGTATGAAAATAACGTGAAGGTAAAACGATACTCATTTGAAGATGTTATGGTCTAAAGCACGAAAAGTGTGTTGTTTGCTCGGAAGGTGGAAAGAGGTGGGGGCAGGATCACTAATTCATCAAGAGAAAATAATCCACCTGGTGTAGGAAATCAACGTTTTTTTGTACTTAACTTCGATGAGGATTTCATTATACAGGAGTCCGCACAAGATCGCAGCATGTATGATAGCAACTTTCTGACAGTGACCATGGTCATGAAGGCAGTGGTGGCTGAGAAAACCATGAGAGTCTATCAGCCGTTTCTGCATCTTTCAGTACAGTCAAGTATCAATATATGGTAGGTACATCGTAGATTGCAATAGAGTTCCAAACGACTCCTGTTTGTAGGGTGACTGCACAGAATGTTTTAAAGACAAGGCAAGACCTAAACGTCTACTCTAAAATATGGGAAACATAGAAATCTCGCGAATGATTTTGGCATCATAACTACGTCCCAAATACTGACACATATTCAAGTATGTACTGAAACTGAGGCCAGAAGAACGTTAGGCGCCAGTTGTCAGTGAAACAAACATGTTCCTAAGCTGCGTGCTTCACTGGACTACTTTGTATCAGAGGCCTTATGGTCTTAAGGAATATGTCATTGGATATGCTGTAGTGCGATAAATACGATTGCCTTTTTTCAACGAAACATTTGTCAACTACGGACTCAAGGAAATAATGAGGTTCCTCCTTTTTGATATGCGAACTACTGTTACAGAGAACCAGCTTACTGTCAGCGTACCAGCCGAAAACCGTGGCGCAACATTGGATCAATTTACAATTGGAGATCGAACGCAAGCAAAGCTGAAAACGCAAATCAATGTGGGGTTTGCGACACGTTGAACTCTGAACTTGAACCGTGTGAGTTGTGTTAATTAGCATTAATTAGCATCTCCAATATCGATGTGTTAGTAGTTGCCTTCAACCTATTTATTGCGCTATGCTCTGAAATAATACTAGTCCCTCAGTCCGGCGGCGCTTGGCGTTCTCATTTTGTTGAGGGGTGAACCGGTTGGAGGCGGCACAACAGTTCCTGGCAGGCTATTCGTACAGTCAGTGGAAATCACAACTACCGGAGGCAAAGGACTACCGATTGACAAGTTTGGTTTGATATCCGAATTTTAGAATGCTTTTATTCTCAATGTTCTACAGTACTATGCATCAACGCAGAACCTCAGTGTCGACGAACAATTGTTTTCCACCAAACACCCGCTGTCGTTTTCTTCTGTCCACGGCCAACAAACCTGATAAATTAGGTAGAGGTTTTAGGTTCTGTCAGAAGCGGACAACAAAGCACCCGTGAGTGAAATATCACCTGTATTTGGAAGTGGCTAGAATGTCACCTGTAACAACTTCTTCACATTTGAAGCATTAGGAGTAATACGCTCCAAGGAGACAACAAACATGGTGGAAATTATTCGGGCTAATAGAAAAGAAGTGCCAGGGAGTTTGAGGTAAAGCAATTGATAGTTGAACGCTTTATTTATAAAGGTAAACACACACTAATATTTAATAACAACAATAAGTCAAAGAAGAAGTGCTCAGTATAATAAAATCTTGTTTGTGATTCATGTGAACTAGTTACGAGAGTTATAACATGTTTCAAGTGTAAATGGGAATAAGGAAGTATAATTATTTTCACGGTAATGAAAAGTTCAGAGTTCCGTTCGATCACTTTTCAGCCGCTATTGTTTGTACACCTTGTTTGTAACAAATGTGTACAACAAATAGGGAATAAAAGTTGGAATAAACAAATGCATTTATGCGGTCATTTTGACCAGTCTCGGACGTTACAACTTTGGCGACGGAGCGGCCTTTCTAGTGTTAAGTAAATGTACAGACTTAAGTAAGTCTTGTATGTAAAGAAATTGAGCATGTATCGGGTACTCGAGTAACTTATAAGTGTGTGTGTGACCAGAGTGCTCTTGAGTTGGTGAGTAACACTTTATTTTTACTCACACACTTGCAACCGTGTGTATGTAGAACAGGCACGTACATCATGCGGTCATTTGGAAAACCTGATCTGTCCAGATTGGATTCACAAAGCAACTTGTTGACTTGGCGCAGTGCTAATATGTTGCCCGCATGATAACACTTCCATTGCGATTGGTAAACACGATTTCGGAGTCATCTTTCCACTCTGTCATTTTAGTTTAGGAAATTAACACACGAAGCTGCAGGGGTAGGTGAAAGGTTGGATAATAAGTGGAGAAGGAAAAGACAAAAAAACCAGGTTGCGGAAACTTTGATCAGGCTAAATTAAAGCAGAGCCATATGGCCGGTCATTGTGAAACCCCTGAAATTTATTTCTTTATATTACGCTCACGAGTTCCCTATTTGTCATTATGACAGCATGTGATAGACATTATCGCTTTTTTAACGCCAGCACTATCCGGACAACACACACTCACCTGGAAGTTTGTCTGCAGAGTTTGAAACTCTCGTGAAAGTTGTGTGAACTCCTCCCGAATCCGTGTATTCTCCTTCTCTTCCGCTTCCAATAATCGTCTTACCTCAATCAAATTGGATTGCACTGCATTTAGTTCAGTTCGAGTGTTTGCCAATTCGGATGTCTTCAGGGACAGTGTGTCTTGGGCTCGGTTGAAAGCTCGTGTAGATTCTTCGTTGGACGTACGTAGCTCGTTTAGTTCTCGCGTGCGGCTAGATAGGTCAACTTCTGAATGCGACAAGCGTTGTGTTGTCTCCCTCAGAGCTGACTGTCAACCAAAGGGAGTTGATCATGTGAATGGATGATGGTTGAAAACGTTGAATAATACTCTGTCCGGTTATTTACTAATCTCTTGGTCATGGATCACGATCAATATAAAAAGTATTTTGGGTGCATCGCATGCAGCCGACATTCCAGATAACACAGCTACTAATCCGGGAAAAAATACTTGTCAAAATTCTTCTACTCGTAAGGAATACAAATATGCCTTTACGGAATTCATAAATGCCATGTTAATTCATAGCTGCCGTTACCGGGAAGACCAACCGCTGTCATCTGCAACGCAGACGCCTGCATCACAGTGGAGGATGGGTCGTGCTATATTGCATTTAGCTAACAATTCATGATGGTCGGCTACCGTCCCCCGTCGCTCAGTGGCATAAGCTGTGGGTTCGATCCTCAGAAGCGGACCGAATGGATTCGCACCAATGACGAGTCCCAATAGGGCGAATCGGCCGTCTGCTGAATTTAGTGCTTTCCCAAATAGGTAGTTGAGTTAGCTGGATTGTCGGCTGATTGCGACGAATTCAACATACTCGCCAAAATCCTTCTACCCATAAGTGCCATAAAACGTGTTTCAACAGTGCTTCGGACAAACGTTAGCGCTCCATAGTACCGATATTTGTTGCCGTGGTCTCTGATAGTGAGTCTTTCATCACCTGAACGAGAAGCGAGACCAGCTAAGTTAGGATCCGGTGTAAAACATTCAACTATATCCGCTGAAAATGGTATTGGCCAAAGTTGTTTTCGTAGATACTTACGGGGGTGATAGACGCTGGCCCCCTTAGTTATTAACATGTAAACGTGAACCTTGCTGAAGCTATGGTACGAAATTGAAAATTTTTGATGGACTGTTCTATCTGTTCAAACTAACTGTGATTATTGTCTCTTTTCAACAAAAGAATGACTTTTGTGCTTTGGAGATACATATAGGAAACTAGGTATCATGTGCATATGCGATACAGGTGGATTGTATTCATAATCTAACTTTAAATGCTGAAACATCTATTGCACTGGAACGCAGTTGACTGCACGACAGTGCAATATATTGCACATCACTTTAGATGTAGTGGGCATACAATTGGCCATAGTTATGCCATGCAACTTTCAAATTAGGCCACCATTTGCTAAACTTCGCATCAATCGACCCCTATCTCCTAACTTGACATATATTCCTCAAGTATTTAGCTCCTCCCTGACTCAGACCACAAACAGTTTAGGCAAACTCCCTTGTGGGTGTGCGGGTGTTCTCCGAGCTGGCTGAGTTGGCTGCAAACTTTTCATCGTCAGGCTAGACGACATCATCAGTGCGATTTATGCGGGCCACTTACAGATCCAAGTGATTGTTGATCACTTGCTTCGAACGTCAGTAGTCTATTGGTCCACGTGAGCTGACCGTGTAGTCAGCTCTTGTGTACTATTGGCTAGAGTCCGCCTCAATGACGTTCCTTTGTCCTTTTGATCTGGGGCGGAATATTGTTTTGACCCTCAGTGCTTCATAGGTAGTATCAAGATCTAAGTGTCGGTTGATTGAGTTCCTTCCCGAGTACCAAGCCTCGATGAACTCGCGAGCTTTTCGACTTTTTGCCCTGCCTATGATCCTGACATTCTCCAAATAAAACTGATGATTCTCGGTGTCCATATGTACCGACATCACGGAGTTCTGGTCATGTCGGCGGATGGCTAAGCTATGCTGTTGTAGCCTAGTGCCAAACTTTCTTCCTGTCTGGCCCACATAGTATTTGTTACAATTTTTGCAGTGGATTTTGTAAATCACACCACTTGTTTCTTCTTTGCCAAGTCGGTCCTTACCATTGAAGAGCTTGTCTCGGATGGTTTCTGTCGGCTTGTGAGCAACTCTGATTCCGAAAGTTAGTAGCAGTCTCGCCGCCATTTCAGAGACATCGTTTATGTATCGCATCATGTTAGATGAGAAAAAAGTGTAAAACCGCCAAGGACTACGCTTGCTATTTGTTTGAGTTTGGTTAGATGAAATGGATAGCATGTCTGGTCGCCACTAGGAATGTGGTTCAATTATGTCGGGTAGTTACGTTTGTGTTGAGACTAGCCAACAAGCCACTGTGTGAAACTACAGAAGGCTTGTATCGTACGAAAGTCAGGTGTGTAAGTTCTAATTCATATCGCTGATGTGTGCGTTTATCGGAAAAACGGTTGCGTTCGATCCACCTAAACATACAGCCTTAGTTGCTTGCAAAGCTGTTCTGTTGGAAGCATTCCAAAATTAGTGGTCACTTGCATTTTTGCAGATAATTAAACTAGGTTAACATGTCCTTTCGCATGTAGCTATTAGCGGCCCATGTAAAATGCCTGTGCTTTCTATAACATTTGCATCAATTAAAGATTTCGGCTTCATAAACCTGTTTTCCTTAGGGTCTTAAATCATGCATTTGGATGTGTTTGTTTGACATATAGCAAAGCCTTCTTATGGACTGTGTATATGATGATGAGATTCTTGTTTTGATAAGTAACTACCAACATTAAAAGAAGAGGTCAATGTTACCCAACACCAAACAAATCACACATATAGCTAGGGTCAAGACATACTTCCAGTCCTTGTTTCTCATCGTCCAGCGCTTCCATCCGTGCTCGTAGCTGAGCATAATCATCTCGTTCTGCCCGCAGCTCACGCTCCAGCTGCGACACTCGGGTTCCTGAGGCGTGCAGTTGGTCTTCACATTCTCGGAATTTCGCGTTCATGTTTGCCAAATCCTTTTCAACCAACTCGCCTCTTCTTCGACTCTGGTCAAGTTGTTGTTGCAGATCGCTATTGTTGTTTCGTTCGGCCTAAATGATTTTCAAGACAAACATTCTTTTTCCCTTATCATCAAACTGAGGTAGTTCAACTGCATTATAAAATGTAGCAAGAAATTTAACTAATAAGGAGCAAATGTACCACATCTAGACTCAGTCAAACAATCTACACACCCCTAGGAAACGTTTTACTACCGTTTATAATTGTTGCGAATTGTCAGTATTGGGATTTCCCTCTGCCTAGTTTGGAGCCGCGACCTGGGAATACACTACTACAAAGCTGTGCTTTGGGCCAAATGGTTTTGGCGGACGAGAGCAGCCGGCACCCTAAGGTGTTAAATGTGATATGTCATGGATCACTTTACGCTAGCTTTGAAGCCACTGTCGTGTAGATCTAGCTGTGAAAGGACTTCCCAAACGGAAACCGCGAACAAACTCATGGTATTTATCGTAAGTAATAACACCCTGCGTAAAAGGACACGGTTGCAATGTGCATACAGCCAAAACGTACAGAACGTTTGGTTGCACACTCGTTCATACACGAGTCAAGTGCATCGTCTGACAGGAAGTGAGGCTCGTGATAAGCAGCCACGAAAGTATTTTACGCCGTCCGGTCTGTTTCCATTTGTCAGCCGCTGGCGTCGTGTCGGCAAGTGGTCTGGATCAGAGGCTCGGATGAACAAGGTCTCAGGTTCATGAGCTACAGAAGGCAGGTGAACTGCGCACTACTAGAGTTATCAAGATACATGAGGTTGCTATACAATGCTTTCTGTTATCTGGTGACTTTCTGATCGTATCTAGATGTGATAAATTCAGTCTCCGTGACCTAAATGAACGTTCGTGATTAATTAACGAAAATATTGAGTAGTGACCCAAAGTCAGCTGGTTTATCAATAGAAGGTAAAACTGATTACTTAGGAGCAGGAGACTTTTAATAAAATTAAGGGTTCTCCCAATACTTTCCAATGACAAATGCTGTTTACGGGTTTACAAGGAGAGTCGAAATGTGTCCATGGATAAACTTCAAGTCGCTGCCTGAATTTGAAGCTTTGCTTGTGCAACTGCTTATGTCGTTCAATATAATCGAAGTCATCCTTTATGAGTGTGTGTCCAAGTTCGTTATAAATATCTCTCGAACCCACTGTGAATGTAGTTGTTTATAGAGTACATCATATCAGTTGAGTTCCACTGATCCATCTGGGGACGAAATCGACACATCCCAGATAACAGCAACAACGCAATCGGGGAAAAAATTTTCAACGGAGAAGCTTCGCAACTGGCTTCGGTCGAAATCCGAGCCTTAGAGCAACATTCTACACTTCATGCTTGAAAAACTCCCAAATCAGCGCTCAATTCCGTGACAAAGAAGTTGGTATATCTTAGAAAAAGGAGTGAAATATTGCTGTACTTGAACGTTTTCACTGAGTTCCTCGGGCAGGGTGTTGCTACTCGTCATTCAGTAATGAAGAGTCCTAGTAATATGCGGAGACAATGATATCTCACCTACCCAAGACAAGGTAATAACTTGTAGTAACGACAGGTTAGCTGTTGATCGAGAAGCTGGAATAGGTCTTAAACCATGGAGCTGGGTTTCTTCTCAGACTGACCGATACCCATCGATCTTTCATTACTTTCGATGTATCGTTTAAGCGATTTGAGGTCGCTTCACCCCTATTTCGGCCTTAAAGAATTGCACCATATGGAAACCATTAAACTCATTATTCAACCTTTTTCTTAAAGGCATGTTACCTAAGCACTAAGTAGGCATCAGTAATGAGAGCAGCGCTGTATAGAATGTCGCAAACGCGAAGCCCTGAAATCGAATTTGGCTAACAAAATCATTAGTTTCGTTTGTTGAGCAGAGTTCAAGAGAGACTTACCCTAATCATTTCATTGGTTCGTTTCAGTTCACTCTCAACGTCTTTCAGAGTCGACTCCAAGTCCATCATGTGTTCACGCAATGCGGACGAGCGTTGTACGAGTTCGTCACGCTCACGAACCACTTGCCGATGGCTGGCTGTCAGATCTTCAATGCATGCTTCCAAATGTGCCTTATCCTTGTTGGCCAGATCAACAGTGGCCTGAATGAATGGAAAGATATATTGCTGTAATGCTCTATGTTGTGGTACCCGTCGTATAGTTGACTATTTGATATTCTCCGTACTGCGAAGAACTCAAAAGCGACAAAGGCGAGTGAATCCATCAAGCTAATTCAGATGCTGGCTATGAGTGTCTATTCATCGCTTACCCAGAGGGCGCCGTTCTGATTATCACCTCTGTGTTAGTGTGATGTTTAGTAGCGCCAGTCATTGATCTGTTAAGGAAGAAATACACTCACTGCCGTCTAAACTTGTTACAGTTCCCTCGTTCCACTTTCCGGGGTGGAGTCAAACCTACCAGCGTTGTGCATGGCTCAAGACATTAGAAGACCTGACTTGCAATCATTACCAATGATACATTTATATTTTCTCGTTATTCAGACCGCTTGTTTAAAGTATTTGTGGAATATGATTGAATATGTTGCGAAGCAAAGTAAGTAAACAAAAAGTTGAATCGCTTTGATTTTTTTAAATCTTTTTCTCACACTGGCCGGTTTTTCTTTTCTAAGGGTGTCAGAAAAATGTATGTGCTTTGATTCTGATTAACCATTTGAAACACTTAGGTGATACGGCATATCTACATTCATCATTATGACTTTTCACTGGTAATGTAATGCACCTGAAAGCATATTCTTTCAGTATTTTACGACATTGTATTTTATATTTTTTCGAAACTTTCAAACGTCCAGTTGTTTTACTCACAGCACATTCGTTTCCACAAACTGCTTTCGTGAGTCCTGTGTTATACGGCTCTTTACCTTTGTGGATTCGCTTCCTACTCTTTCAGCAACTAAAATATGCTTTGAGTACAGCTGCCTCCAACTTGTTTTAAATATTTCGGAATCCTTGTAGCTGTGGTTGATGCTTCAATTGTTCATTTGTTCTCCGAGATTGGCCGTTTTGTTGCAATTGCTTCACCAACATGCGTGGTGCCAGCCTCAGTGCAGTGAATTGCGGCGTGCAATCTTACTGAACAATTGCCTCCAAATTATGTACTGTCTCATATTCCATACGTCTCATACGTGTCATTGTTTCGGACTAGTATCTTAGTCGCCACCCTACAATTGGTGACTACGGCCCAGAACACGCAGCTCGCCATTTTGAGTTCTCATTCCATTGAGCTTGTTGCAGTTACTTTGTGATACATTACTTGTGCTCATTTTGTTTTCACAGCCAACGCATCTTTATTATGCACTTTTTGCAATGAATAATCTAGCGGATTAGCGATATCCATGCGTGATTTTCGCCGTAGAGCCTGTCATGGTCAATACCGTAACGTTCAGTACTCCAACATTTTGGGAAAGTGATCCTTCGTTATGGTTGTCGCACCTAGAATCCAATTTTTTAGTCGTTGGTTTTCTTCTGACTTCGTCATATATAATCAGTTCATATCTCGGCTTCATCTGAATATATCCTCACAAGTGAGGAACATCCTAATTTACCTCTTCTTGTAATGCAATATGAGGCTCTTAAACAGGCTATTATTCAGCGAATTTTGCATTCTGACAAAGTTCGTCTGCCGCAATTATTTAGTTATTCGCAACTAGCAAATAGGGTGCCCACAGCCTGGTTGCACGAAATGCGATGGCTCATTGTTTTGTCCGATATTTACTTAAAAATCACCCGCGAACTGTGGATGTAATACTTACGTGAAAGCACTAAGGCTCTGCTTACAATAGCCAGTGACCTGCCACTCATAGCAATTGTAGATCTAACAGACCGCGTCATCCAACTGCACCAGCGACAGACCGGACGCAAAGCACTTATGCAACTTAGTGACGGCGCAACCTCAGCGACACCCGCGACTAAATATCCGTCGGTAATAGACGCATTATCATCGTAGATAGCGTCGTTTTAGCGCCAGATCGAAAAGCGCACCTTAAACCGTATGCACCGCAGCCGCCTCACAAAACCTGCCCCCACAGGTTACTTCTTTTACCACTTTCGGTTCGGTAATAAAGCCCGTAGGTGCATACAGCCATGCAACTTCTGTGCTGTATGTGATTCGCCACGCCAGTCTGTAATGGGCACGACCGACGTCGGCAAAGCTCAACACTGTCTCATCTACTTTAGGGTTTCTGTTTCCGAAACTTACTTCTTAGTTGATACCAGGGCGGAGGTCAGCGTTATCCCACATATGTCGACAGGCTTAAGTGCCGTGGATCGTAAACCAATAGCCTGGACCTGGATCAATGGTATACCTTCCACTGAATATTTACCATTGATACAGTTTCCTTTGCTGTAATTGGCATTGATCTTTGCAGGAAGTTCGACCAATTTGTCGATACGAAACGCCAGATGATGGTCCAACTTGCAAGAAAATGCACTGCATGTGACATCAACGTAGATATCCCATCTATCACATCAGTCTACGCCTTTCCCCAGACATCGCTAGACTACATTAACCTCTGCTCCCAATATTCCAAGCTCCTTTACCCAAGAACCGCAGCTCTGACAATGGCATCCCAAATCACACACCACATTCGGACGAATGGCCCATCCGTCTCATGCCGTCCACATCGACTTTCAACACAGAACTTAAGTTAGCTAGGGCGGAGTTTGAACACAAGCTCGAACTCGGGGAATACCCGATCTTCTGACAGCGCTTGGTACTCTCCTCTGCAGTTGGTTCCTAAAAAGTTGGTGAATGGCGCCCTTGCGGTTACTACCAAGAACTCAATATATTGGTATCCTATCGCACACATTCAGTACCTCATCACACGCCTCATGTATAAGACGATCTTCAGTAAGATCAATCTGGTTCGCGCCTATCACTAGGTACCTGTAGCAGAAAACGACATTCCTAAAACAGCCGTTCTCACACCTTTCGATATTTTGAATATCTAGGAATGCCTTTCAGACTATGAAAAGGCGTGCAAACTATCCAACGCTTCATCTACGATGTCACTCGTGGTCTAGACTTAGCCTTTTCATGATTGGGAAATATGCTGTTAGCCAGTTCAGCGAAAAAACACCTCAACCATCTCCGTTCTCTCTTTCAGTACTTGACTCAACACGCATTCACAGTAAAAGCAAGTAACTGCGAACTCGGCAAGTCAACAGTAGATTTCCCCGACCACCTCTTTTCGCCTTCAGTTTCTTCCTGATACCATCCAGACAATTAAGAACTTCCCAGATTCAGCCTCATTCAAGCACCCCTGTCGATTTTGTGGTTTGTTTAACTACTATAAACGCTCCATTCCTCATTGCGCTCAGCTCAGGCAGACTTTGACTGACTTCCTCAGAGGAAATGTACATAAGATCTTCGCAGAAAAAACATACCTAACCATTACTGAACTCAAGTGTGCTTTCACCAGCATAGCTATCCTTGCTCATTCCGGATCGAATGCACTTCTGTCTAGCTAACTGATGTCTCTGAATGCGCAGTAGGAACTGTCTTCCAACAACACGTTAGTAGACAACGGCAACCCTTTGTTTATTCTCCAAACACCTGCAGAGATCCCGTTTGGCAGAGAGCACCTTGCCATCTGCTTAGCCATTCAGCACCTCCGGCACACACTCGAAGGCGCAATTCACGGTCTACCCTGACCACGAGCCTGTCATACTCGTCTTCAACTGAGCTGCTGACAAACACTCCCTACGGGAAACCAGACACCTAGACTATGCCACTCAGTTCACTGATGACACAGATCATGTTTCAGGTGTCGACGACCCGGAGACTGACACTCTCTCACGAATCAAAATCAACCTTTAGTTTTTGCCTACCGTTGACATTGCCGCCACGGCACCGGCTCAGCCTCAAGCTAAAGACATACAACGCACCCTGCAGTCACTTCACTGCAGGTGCAACATGTTCCTCTCTAAGCCACGGAAGGAACCATCATCTGTGATACATCCACAGGTTATCTTAGACCATTGTGCCTGTCTCCTTCAGACACACTCTCTTCGATGCACTCTACACAAGAGCACCTCCAGATATCCGTGCAACTGAAACTGGTCACTGAACGTTTCTTTTGGCCAAGCGTAAAAAAAGATCTTCCTACCTAGGCTCGTGCCTGCCATCAATGCCAACGCTCCCAAGCACATCGTCACACTAGTAGTTCTCTTGGCTCATTTTCCGCTCCGGACTCTCAGTTATGGCAAGTACACTAAGAGCTAGTGGGTCCGTTGCCTCCTCCACGTGGATTCGTACACCTTCATACATGTGTCGACCGCTTCATTAGATGGCTAGAAGTCAATCCCGTAACAGACTGCACAGGTTTGACTGTTATCCGGGCCATATTAGATAGTTAATTCTCGCATTACGAAAACCCAGCCACTTTCTTAAATGACCGTGGAACGCCCTTCGAATCTTTAAAGTTCCTTACTTTCTGCAATTTCCTAGGCTGCCGTCGCATTCATTCCATAGCGTATCATCCAACAGCCGACGGCCTGGTTGCTGGCTTTCATAGACAGCTAAAAGCCTGGATTAGTGTGTTCTCAGTCTCTATCTGGAGCGAAAACGTTTCATTTGTACGCATAGGCATCCACAATAGCATTAAACCTGACTTACAATGTATACAAGCAGCGCTGGTTTACGGCATAATGCTAAAATTGTTAGCAGAATTCGTTCGGCCGCACGCATCGTTGCGTATGCCACTGCCTAACTTTGAGTCATTCCTTGCTCAAAGCATGCGTTTAAAACGCCCGACTCGGCGCTGCGAACAGACTAGAGATGTGCAAAAGCACAGCGAACTCCTGTAACTGCACGCACGTCTTCTTCCGCACCGACGCAGTACGGCGCTCTCTCCAACCTCCCTACAGTGGTCCTTGCAAAGTTATGCAACGAACCCCTCAGCACTTCACCTTAGACCAGAACGGTCACCGAACAACGGTGACCATCGACCGCCTCGAAGTGGCTTTCTGTGACGAACCACTTGCAACCCATCCTGATGCTATCACACAAGCAGACACATCGGCGGTGACTTCCTGATCACTGCATACTTCGTAACCCTCCATTACCCTTGAGCCTCCGCTTACCC